AGAAAGAAAGAAAGAAAGAAAGAAAGAAAGAAAGAAAGAAAGAAAGAAAGAAAGAAAGAAAGAAAGAAAGAGAAAGATACATGTTGTGGGAGCTTCATCCCTGGAGGCTTCCAAGAAGAGACCGGACTGCCATCTGTCTGAAATGGCGTAGGGTTTCCTGCTTGGGTGGGGGGTTGGACTAGATGACCTACAAGGTCCCTTCCAACTCCGTTATACTATTCTACCTAAGAAAGAGGCGGAGCGGGCTATCAGCCCCCAGCAGCTGTTCCTCCACTTTTAAATAGTTCCTTCATATATGATTTCCTGCATGCAACAGGCGAAAACCACCCTGGGGTCTACCAGGAAAGGCTCCTTGTGGAAAAACGGACTATTTCAAACTATTTGTAGGGGGCCTCTGGCTCCTAATCAGGACCACAAAAAATATCTTTAGCCCAGCAAAGTGAAAGGATGCTCAGAGGTTCCCCCAGGTGCTCCGCTCTCCGAGGGAACAAAAGACCCTTTCAGGAGGAGAAACGTAACTTGAAAAAAAGTTTTTCAAGTTTGGCCAGGAAAAATATTGTCCATCCCAGCGAGCGACAGCACATTTACAGCATATGTTCACTCCAGGGAAACAGCCCGGGGCATGACATAATAGTCCAGTCGGCCACGCCAAGGCCTCCTTGGGGAGGCCTTTGGTTATTTTTAAAACCTGGCTTGCTTAATTAGATCTGCCCGACGTTTGCTAAATGCTTTGGCAGCCGGGAAACGATTTTCAGGGGTCCAGATGCTTTTACGATCTGCCCCACACCCTATCCTTGCTCCGAGATCGTAATTCTTCCTCGCCTGCTCCTTTGCACAGACAAAGAGAGACAGAGAAATAGAGAGAGAAAGAGGGAGAGAGAGGGAAAGAGTGAAAAAGAAACAGAGAAGGAAAGAGAGGGAGAAAGAGAGAGAGGGAGAAAGCAAGAGGGAAAGAGAAAGAGGGAGAGAAACAGAGAGAGGGAGAGGAAAAGGGGGAGAGAAAGAAAGAGGGAAAGAGAAACAGAGAGAGAAAGAGAGGGAGAAAGAAAAAAGAAAGAAAGAAAGAAAGAAAGAAAGAAAGAAAGAAAGAAAGAAA